TTGTGGGAGAGGCGGGGTTGAAAATCAGACTAACTTTTCGTGACGTCATTTATGAAATATTGCTGACTTTAAAAAAAAAACACGTTTTACATTCATTTTCATGTTATTTATTTATTGGTACACTATTATTAATAGCATCATGCATTTGGTAATATATTTTTAATGAAATAAGGTACAATTTGTGATTTATTTTTTTAAATCGTGAAGCAACTGACCTACAATGTCCCAGCATGAATGAATCAATCATGAATGAATAATCTGTTGGAGATCTAGCATCAAGGTCACGAAAATCCTGGCCGCATCCGATGAGTTTAGTTAGCCGTCTGCAGATCTCTCGTACACTTCGGGCCTTGCCTGAATGTTTCGGGACGCTAACTCCCAACTGTGTGCATTCGTTAGCAGATTACTGCTACATGCGATTGCCAAACATTCCATCATTTCTTTATATGTGGACGGTTTTTGAAATAGGAAAAATGAATGAAAGAACACATGTGGTGATCACCCACCTTCTGCCCCCCCCCCCCCGGACCTATCACGTTGTCTGTCATATCACCTCACCATGTCACAGATTTAACTGTTGTGCGTGAAGATTTGAACATCTAGTGAACACCAAGACCAGTAGAGCTTCAACTTGTTTTTAAGCCAGATTTGAACAGTGATTGTCGTAGTATTACTAGTAGTAATAAATCATTAAAAGTCTACTTTTGTCTTCAATTTCGACAATATATAGGCCGTAATGGTCATCCACGGTTTATAGTAACGTCTAGTCAGGAGTGGGTCTTCGTTGTTTTTTTGTTTTTTTCTATCTTTTGGAAAATTACCTGAACTTACTGGCGATTGACAGTAGCCTGCGCAGTCAACATGGTTCTGTAAATGGTTTAAAACTCAACCAATGGAAGATGATCTAGCCTGTCACAAGTGAACTAATCATCTACACAACTCACGGTGTTGGTGAAAATATTCCTGTTGCCTAGATCAGTTGGGTGTTGACCTACAACTATTGTCAAAATTTTGATTCAACAGGTGGAAATTAGCATCCACTCGTTTTTAATTTCGGAAGGTGTTTGCTTAAGTAAACCTACACGTCTATATTCTGCATAACCATAGTGTAAATTGTCAGAAGTGTATTGACCTCCCCATAAGTCATCAATATATATTTTTTTTAAATATAATTTGTAGACTAGATAACACGAGTCTATAACTACCTGGTTCATATTAAATACATGCACGACTGTAACCCCACTACTAGTGAGAGTAGCTGATAAATGCAGACTTATTACAGACGGTACTAAATGTATTTTTTTTTATTTTGAGAGAAATCCACAAGAAGCTATTTAACGTTGATAAATGTTTTAAAATTTTAAAACAGCTGATACTGATATGAAATATTTATATTTTGCTAGTGAAGTTCCAGAATGTTTAAAATTCTTTATTTCCCAGTTGTTGCTCTTTAGAAGGCTTAATTTATTGTACAAGTATAAGGTTATTTGATAATCATTAAACTTAAGATGTGAAATCAAATAATTCAAAAGCCGTAATTTAGACAATTTCAACATTTATTTTTTTAGGCAATGAGCTTACAAATACCTCAAAGACCAGATGGGAAAATAGTTTGACAACCTGACCTCTGACACGCTCATACCAATGAGAATCTTACTTCAATATGGGTTCCAGCTCTATCAATGCTATAACAAATAAGCTGCAGTAAAAATTACGACAAATAATTTTTCAACTCAGGCCGCAGTGTCTGGCATTCTCTCCAACATAAAACCAGGGAATAAAAAATGTGGAAGGACATTAAAAGCCTTGTCTTACAAATTGATACATCATAGTCCATAAAAATAACATGCTACCACTATACACACTGTTAAAAACCTTAAAAAAAATACAAAGCTAATTAGGAATGCATTTGGAAAAGAACTTGCTCTAATACCATTCTATGTTTAATAGATATGGTCATTTAATTTACAACAACCACTTTGGTATGTCTATATAGACATTTGTATCAATGCTTTCAAAAAAAAAAATTTTAACAAAAAGAAAACTGATTAAAAATACAGAAAAGATTTACTGAAACGCTTGGCATGATGTTCAACAAAACATGACGTAACATCTAGCAAACAACATGCCTCATCTAAAAATTAGGCCAGATGGAAATGAAATATGTACAAAAAGATTTATGAAAGAGCCATTAGCACTCACTACCCCGTCAGGTCTGAATTGCACTGAGCACAGTGGAATCAATTATGTTAGACAAGGCTTTGATATCTAAAATATATAAGACTAACTTTTTGATCTGACAAACACAAATAACTAATACAATTTTAATAAACAAATTTTTGAAGATGGAATAATGATGACCAATCAGATATTTTTTGAATTGTAGACATGAGACTATGAAGATGATGACAATGAAATTTATATTTTAACAAAACATTAAAAATGCATTAAAAAAATTTAATGGTCCAGTGTTTAACCTTCCTCTTCTTCATCCTCCTCTTCACCTTCACCCTCCTCTTCACCTTCCTGGAAATAAAAACAATATTCAATTATCTCTTGAAATAGAAAACAGTATATATACACATCTCTTATATACATACACATTCAGAGATGTAACTGGTTTTTTTTTGTACCAGACGCAATATGGCTTTGTTGTACAATTTTAATAGCTAAATGAGCAGTTATCTCAAATAAAACATTTCCATTACTCTTAAATGGCAGCTCTTTAAAATACCAATCTAACTTAGTATATATAAATATGAGCTGGATCAAATTCATTAATTCTTAGTACAATTAGATAGGATGTACTATTATTTAAAAGTAAAAAAAAAACATTTGAGCCAACAATATTTTATAGTAGCCACATATAGTTAAGTTTTTAAAATTGAGTTCTGTTGAATTTATAGTAATCCTACTTAAACTTACTAGTATACGACAGAATTAATAAATAAATCATAAACCCATAAAACATCTTTTGGACAAAAAGTAAAACCTAGGCAGAAATAAGTCAGCGAGCACAAGCATCTGCCATATCTTGAGAAAGGACATTTACACATATTGTAACACCAGATGACAAAAGTCAAGAGTTGCAAATTTTTCCAATTCTAAAAAAAGTTTTCAGAAATTCTGATGCAAAACTATACCTCATCTGGCTCTTCTTCATCTTCATAATTCCCTTCATCATCAACATCATCATCTGTTAAAGAAAAAAGCTTTTAGATATCTATCTATTCATATTAGCCTGCTAATATGAATGTTTTCAACATCTCAATGTAACATTACTAACAACCCCAATCCCAAGGGAAGGGGCAATAGCTTTAAAATAGGGCAATCCTATTTAGAAAATCACATAATATATGAAACAATTTCAAATTTTTTAATAGGTAAAATGGACAACAAATTCAACATAATGAGGTACATACTAAGCGAACCCGAAGGGAGAGTACTCTTTAAAATAACATCCTAAATATAGAGAGGGTCTTAAAAAATGTACAATAAAATTTGTTTTTTAAAATTAATTTATAATGTAAATTTTATTGTGAATTATTGTGAAACATCTGGCTGCAAACACGCAAAGAGGAGCACAACTACGTATTGAAGAAGTATCAAGCCTGCATATCACGATTTTATTTTTTACATCTGAATTAAGTGTCCATAAATGCATCCACAAACAAACAAGTGAAGCCGCTACGGCAAAATGATGGACATTTTATTAAAAATTATATTTTTAATGGAAAAAACATGCGATAGTGAATGCTAAAATACTGAAGATATTTTGATTAGTGTAACTGGAAATTTTTTAATGGTAATTTGCGCAATGAAAGTTTTTTTTCCAGATTCTCACGTAACTAAACCATGTGCAACTTTAACCTCAATAATAAAAATGAAGTTATTTCCGTTATGCATTTGAACTTTAAATGAAATAAACAGCTACGAAATGGAGTGTTGCACAGGCTTAATACATAATAAAATGCTTAGTAACAGGCGCTTAACAGTTAACGCAGCATTTACTTGAACTATTGCATCAACACATGCAGAACCACCAATAATTTCTACTGCCTAATCAAAATGGCCAGTATTGAAAACATGCAATTCTTGTAATAGTTAAGTTTTAATTTATCTATAGCCATTGATAGCTTAATTTTACACATAAAAAATTTCTAATTGAGACCCATAACAAAACCAAAGAACAAAATTAAGGGAAAAAATAATTACCTTCACCACCATCTCCACCGGTTTCCTCATCAATTTCAGATGCCTAAAAGACATACAAACATATATAAGAATCCATAGATAAAACAAAAATGATTTGAATGTACAACCTTATTTGAAAAACTGGTGTAAACTTACCAAATAATATTGAAGTGGATTAGGCCAGATATCATCTTTTATAACCTCTCCAAGTTCATCAGCGCCAGCATCACCATGATCACCAAACCAGCTAAAAAATGATTCCTGGTCATCATGGCTTCTTTTCTTTCCTTTAGTAGCATTTCCTTTCTTTGTTAAATCCTACAGAGGAATTAACACATTATGAACAAAATAAAATAAATCACAATCTTAGCCTGTCCAATTTACTGTAAAGTAACATTCAACTTACTTTGCCTTCTTTCCATTTAATTGGTGTTGACTGTGATGAAGGGTCACCAGTATCATTAAGATGAAATTCTTTCGTCAACATATCATTTGAAAAGTAGGGATTTGTGTCAAAGTACTAGAAAGAGAAAAATACATACAATAATTCTAGCAGTGTACTAAATTTATTATAGCAAATTAAACTTTAAAAAAATGTAAGAAATACTTACAAAATTAATTCTATAACCAGATTTAATGTCCTCAAACTCTTGAACTTCAACTTTTGTGAGATATTGAAGTGCCTCCTCATCATCTTCATTTAGTAAGGCAGACACTTGAGGATGATTAACAAACTAATCAAAAGGTTAAGGCCAAAGCACAGTAATAGAAACCCAAAATTATCACTAAGCTAACAAGCTTAAGGATATCAATAAATAAAAGGGATGATTCCAGATTGTAGACTCTTCCATAAAATAGGTGTGTTGGATTAGCATTGACATTAGCCAGCCATGTGTGTATTTAGTTAACTACCAGTAACCTACCACCTCATTTAGTATAAAAATTCTACCAATAAAACATAGGGGTAAATGATATGTAGTTATTGTACAAAAGGATACAGCAGTAACCCAAAAATTTGGTATTTTTGCTATAAGGTCTGATCTCTTCTTAAAGTAAGGCTGCCTTAGTGTGTTGTATTTCTGTTCCACTTTGAGGATCTCTTCGCTGGCATTTTCATTTAACTTGTCAATTTCATTTTGAACTTCATCTATTTGTTCAATTGCTTCCTGCTGTTCTTTATCTGTAGAGAAAAATATTTTATGCATGAAAGACAGCTTGGAAGTTAAATATTGCGGTAATTTTGGAAAAAAATACTAGGAGCTTATTAGCAACTAAAGCTGTCAGGCAGAATATGCTTAATAGTTCTGCAAAAGCGCAATTAACAGCTCAATTTTGTTTTGAAATCAAGATTTCAGATGAGTGTATCCCTGCTTTAAACTAAAATAGATCTAAATCAGGCATACTTTTGGTGGTTCAACAAAATACAAAAGTATCCACAGCATATTTTTGAAATGACTGAATTAGGCCTAATCTAAACTTTATTATTTATAAATATTATACTTGACTATACTTCCAGGCATTATATGCCACAGTTAAGTAAAATGTTTTACAGCAAGCTAAATTTAATTCCTTTCTTAAACTAGCGAGTTAAAACTGAGTCAAGACCATTTTAAAAGAAGGGGTGTAATCGAAATCTAGAAACAAGTGCCGCGGTAGAAAATAGCGGGGGAAAAAAAATGCCGGACAATTCAAGGGGTGTAACTCTTATACATTCATCGAAAATTGGCGCCTGGGGATAAATCCAGACAAGCTCCAAATTACAAAACATTTTTAAAAAACAAATAGATCTAAAACTGATTATTGTACATGTAATAAAATAAAGCACGTCATATCACTATATCTACGATAAGCGCTGACAGCTTGGCACTAGTAGAATAACTTGGAAGGTTTTAGTGAACACATGGTCGTTTTTGGGTCAACATGCCTTCCCTTTTGCTAGCCGTGCCGAGGCACTTTAGAGACAAAGTATCGGTTGGATGTATAATCATTTTCAACGTCTAACGGTCGATTTGCACTTTGATAATTAAATTAATAAATTTTGCCTTTACACTGACTAACTAGTATACTCACCAGCCTGTTCATCTGCAGCATCATGGTTATTTTTTCCATCAGGTTTACTGACTTTAGCTGGGGTCGCCATTTTCAACGTGAAGCGGGGAAAAAAGAACTGGTTATTGCGCAGCCGCAATGACTGTGGTTCCGGTCACTAAGTACGCGGATGAAACTCGTGTCGAAAACTCTTTTTGTTAGTTATTTTAATGTGGTACCGTTAATATTAAGAAATTAATAGTCTATGCTCAACCTTCACTGGTATTTGGAATACCGATGCAACCCATACACCCTTCCAGCCCAACTGCGGTATAATTTGTGTCGGGCACTTATTTCGAGTTAACGCGGTCAATCCCTTTGTGTCATAAGCAAAACTCGGATTTGAACCACCGGAAACGAAATTTAATGGGAACACAAAGACATCGTGGAAAAATAAAACTCCCAACAACAATAACTAGAAATAAAGATCTATTATAAAATAATTTCATCGTTTTGAAATTTATTTTCTAGTCTAAACTAAACTGATATTAAATATAAACAAATACATTCTTTTTCAATTATGTAAGCAGATTTAGAATGATTGGAAATACTATAACAAGTGAAAATTTTAATGAAACAAAATAAAAATATGAGCGGCATTGGCAAGGCTTCTCAGAATGTGACTCGCGTGGGTGCACTTGATCAGGGTTCGGTCTCAAATAATATGAGGCGGGATCACAATAAAAATCTTAAGACATTTTTGTTTAATTTTGTTTTTTGAAATTATCTTCTATTCATTCGGAAAGGGTTAAAAAAAAATCGCATTTGTTAAAATAGACCTGGATCTAAATTCTATTCATTCTAGGTCTTATAAATAAGTTATTCTGGTTTCTTTAAATTTTTAGTATAAGGTTGTTTTTTATCCCTCGAAGTTGAAAGGAATATCAGAAAAACACTTGGTTTGTTACAGTTTCTAACTGATTCTACACCCTAAGATGCAATCAATGGGAAAAAGCCCCCGCCCCCAATCTAGAAAAGTTCGGGGGAGCTATTTACCAGTCACTGTCCCGTAATAGTTTTTATGTTGGTTTAATAAAAAAAAATAACTCTCAGACCGTCCTGTTAAGTTTAAACCCTTTTTATTACTTTTTAAACAATTTATAGACTTAATTATAAATATAGGCTTATATTTATATGTAGAATTTTCGTTAAGTTTATGCTAAACAGTGTGTAGAAAAATAGAATTTTCATCAAAACAAATTATCAAAAAAAATGTCACATCCATAGACAAAGTCACAACCCCGAGTGAGATTTGGGGAGGGGGCACAGGCGTAGCGACGGGGGGGGGGGTACATATGCCCCTAGCGCCGACCCCTGGGGCGCCTAATTAAGCTCATTTTAGTTGCTATTTTGAATTATAAATATAAAAAAATATATGGGGGGGGGGCGCCAAATTGAAATTTTGTTCTCGGGCGCCGGGAGGGGTCGCTACGCCTCTGGGGGGGGGTCGGACTTTGGTGACCTCTACACTATTTCGCACTCTATAAAGCTGTATTTAATTTTTTAAGCCGTTATTCCGGGGGTGGAGGGCAGTGTTTCTTCCAGACTATATTCTCCGGGGGGGGGGGGGGCACTTGATATTTTCGGGGAGGGCGGTCAACATTTTTCGGGGGGCGGACACTAGAAAAAGTGTATGTTTACTATATAAAATCCATCTCGTTCGGAGGGGGGGGGGGGTGGTAGACTTTTTTCGGTGGGGGGTGGGGGGGCTCATTTAATTTAAACTAAAACCCAACTCAGGCATCCAAGATAGAAAACAAGTGATCGTAATTTGCGTTTAATTTTCTGTTATTTTCATCTTTTCCAAAAGACAGGCCTGAGTTGGATTGATGACGTGGAGACAGACCTACGACAGCTTGCAGACTACGTGTGGGCAGTTCCTTCCAGGCATCTCTTTCGGGAAGTCTAGAAGAAACACGGGAAGTGGCAAATGAAGACAGCGGACAAGTCTGGGTGGAAAATTAAAGGGTAGTCAAGCAGATCAAAGCCCTCCATGAGGTGTAGAACGAGTGAGGTGGATGACAGTGTTTCTTCCAGACTTTTTGCTCCGGGGGGGGGGGGCGCACTCGTAACTTTAGGGGGGGGGGGACACTATAATTTCCTGGGGCGGACACTGGTAAAAGTATATATTTTCTATACAAATTACATTTCGTTGGGTGGGTGGTGGCGGTAGACGTTTTTCGAAGGGATGCCCGGAAGAGATGCCTGGATGGATGGATGGATTTCTATCTTGCAAGAATGGTAAAAAAAAAATGTCCAAGGCTTTACTTTAGTAGAGAGAAAATGTCCAATAAAATATCCCCCTGTTTTGTTTAGCGAAAGCTCAACAATAATTATTTTGATGGGGCACCCGAAAAACATTACTAGATCTATAGGCCCCAAATACTTGTTCTTTTTTAGATTTTTATGCAATTTATTTTAGGATTATCTCGTCTTGGCTATCAAAGCGATCACATTCCAATAACTATTGTGAGTTATGATCAAGCCTGATCGCAAGACCAAGTCTGGTCAAACCTTTTCACAACTGTGTCTAAAATTATAAACTCTACTCTTTTCACTTTTAGCACCCTGTTAAAAATGTAGATTTATTTCAAAACATGATTGTTACTATTAATAAGATGAGGTCGTTATGATGTGTGTTTAAGGATTATAATAGTAACGATTATTAGAAAACAGGCAAGAAAATGATTGTATGCTATGCAGACGATATGTGCGACTTTTTCTATAGCACTGTTCGTACAATGGGTAAAGCGACATGTACTAATGTAGGCCTAGGACTAGCAGAAAAAAAAAAAAAAAAAAAAAAGCCCATTCACGTTTAGTTGCAAGATGTCATTTTTATAGCCAAGTAAGGCTTAGAATATCTGTTTTGTCAATATCAGTACCAGTAATATAGTAAGCACTGAAGCAGGCTTATTGCGAATGCTAGCCATACGAATATGTTAAACCTTTAAAATAAGGAAGGGGACATCAACCTTTGAATCATAGCCATTTACTGTTGGACTACTTTATGCTTCTGTTTAGTTTGGCCTACAAGGAAGCTAAATGACTTGCCGAAACAGACTATAGTAAGTAGATATATTATAGATCTAGGTCTTTACGGACTTGATTTACAAAGAGACACTCAAGAAATACATCCGTGTAATCTTAAAGTCTTCTTCGTAGAAACTTGAAATAAAAATGAATCAGTCATAATTATTTATTGATAATTATATTTATGAAATTAGCAGTGAGAAATTATGGACCTTAATTTGTAGAATTATATCGCACATTAGACGCCATAGAGTTTAGAGGCCCACAATTATAATAATTAATATAAATAGTCTCTATGCAATCTGATGCATTGTATAAGTAGCTATGCATTTATTGACTACACTCATTACACACATACACACACACACTACAGATTTGACCTCATTGAAAGCAAGATGACTATTTTGTAGAATCAGACTTTGTAGACTAAAATATGTCTTTTAAAATCACAGAATCAAAATGTTTCATACCTTATTGAATGCAGGCCTATATATCATATAAACCCAATATAGGTTTACAGATAGGCCCTATATAATTCTATATAAACGTAAATGAATAGTAGTGAACCATAAACAGATCATAAATTGTGTATTATAAAAGTAGGCTAGGCCTATATGGTTGCTTTCAATATAGGGGAAGCTATCCTGTTTCAATTATCTACTGGAAAAAAAGGAGTTGTCTGTAATTAGTGTTAAGAATTAAGACATATTAGTTATGTGTAGCAGAAAAAAGAAAATGCATGCATCAGTGGCATACTAATTTAGGGGGTGACACCAAAACGAAAATAATTACAAAATATACTGTCAAAACAATGCTTTACCCAGTTAATATAAAAAAGATTAGGGAAAGGGGGTGGGCATGACACCCTCAGTTACAGCACAAAGTGAAGCCAATGCACTGTAGGTCTAGGCCTTTTAATAAAAAATGAGGCAGAGGATTACACTTTGCACATAAATTAGCCTGATGCCTTTAGAATCCCAGTAAAAATTAGTAAAAAAATGTTTTTTGCAACTGGATATAAACTGGAGTAATGTAGAGTGAGAAACTATTACTTAAACATTTGTAGAATTTAGATGTACAAAAGGTGTAGCATGTTAAATTTGAATGTAGACACTACTCAATGCAAGAGAAGAAATTAAGCAACAAAACGGTGACAGCATGCTTAATTAGAAGGTAAAGTTATAAGAAGTTTCAGTAAAAGTAGTTAGTAACTGTCCATTAGGATTTGTGTAGGCTATCCATATTATTTAACTCAAGAAGTGACATGTTTTATATATATATATGTACCATATACCCGTTCACTATATAAAACCACAATCTCTTGCAACACCCCCCCCCCCCCCCCCCCCCCCCCGTTCCCCAAAAAAACTGCATAATTGGTAAACTTCAGAAGAATTTTTTTTTAAAATCCATTTTATTTAGATAAAATCACATATTTATCTCTGTTTGTAAAGCTTTATTTTGTGTTAAGATTTTTAAAAAATCTTTTTAAGCCCATTTTGTCAATCTATTAATCTATTAATCCAGCTATCGTAAAAGGCAGTAATTAAAAAAACAACCCATAATAAATCTAATTAAAAAAAATTTTCTGTTCCGCAGGCCTACCATTAAGTATGATTAAGCTTAACTCACAATTTTTAACATTAATTAATAAAAAAAAATTCTAATAACAAGCTTTTATATAATAATCCATTAAAAAGTAGAAAATAAATGCTTTTCTTTAGATAGATCTATATAATAATGTACCACTTTTTAAAAACAAAAAAATTGTGGGTTGCTTCTTAAATTTTCTTAAAGGTATTTAATAGAAAATATAGTGACTTATGCTTTTCTTTACGGTTATTTAAATAGTGGTGCATTATTATGTATGTAAAGAAAATAATTCATTTTCTAAATTTTAGGGCATTATAATAAAAAAAGCTTGTTATTAAAACGATTTTTATTACATTTTTTTCAATGCTTTGAAATTTTTATACAATAGAATTGCATCACTAAATAATTACACCCTTAATTATCACAAATGATGTGTGTTTAGAAAATGGTATTTTATATAGGGAATTTAAATTAATTCTTCAATAACTAATTAAGCATCTATTCAATCCAAATTTGATGTTGCATTATCATAGGATCTTGACCCACATGCCAAGTATGAAATAAAGTGATCCATTAGAAGTGACTGAAATTTTGCTTGCCAACCCATGACAAAAGACAGAGAAAGAAAGTTAAATTATAAAACCTTGAGTTGTTAGAATCTCAAATCCCAAAAGAATATTGAGAACAGTTCATGAAACAAGGAAAATAAGCTCACATTAACACAAGAACCTAGTTGCTTCTAAGGCCCCCACTTTAACTCTTTTAAATAAAAAATTTTAAACTTCTGTTCACTAATTATTATTGTTGTTTAATTATTATGTCTAGTTATTAAGAATATTTGTTTTTTAATTAAATGTTTAAACAATTTTAAAATGCTCAAGAGTTTAAATGGTGCTGATATCAGATTGCTAGTCATCACTGATAGTATTGTACATGTCATCTAACAAAGCATCCAAGTATGATAATACTGTTTTTTTTTAAAATTCACAGCATATCAAGCTCATGGTGAAGGGCGGTCCATATAACAATATTGTTTAACTTATCTGGTCCAAGGTAAAGATAAATCTTTCAACTGATAACAGGACTAGGAAGTCAGATAACAATCCAGTTATTACGTCATCAGTATTTAAATGTAGTTTTGTAAATATGCACAAACTTTTGTCTGCTTAGGTTGTTTTAAATAATCCGTTTTATTTGTATTTTTTTTTATTTCAGCCATGTAATTGGGTTTATTCTAGATATGTCTAGGTTAATTTTATATTATCTTTTTTTTTTGTTGCAGATAAGAATAGTTACAATAAGAGTTTAGGACTGTAATGACTAAATATTTAGTTTTTTTAAAGTGTCTGTAAAGAAAAGAAAACAAAATATGAAATAGAACAAGCAGTATGAATCCAAAGTTTATTATGACACAAAGATCTGAGAACATGAGGTGCAGTTATATTTTTTTGTGATCTTTTAATTCCCTGTTGTTTTTTTTTAACTTCATGCAATGTCATGGTCTCGACAGTACAACTTTAGTCTATTTCAACAACTCAAGTTGTTGAATAGGTTATTGAAAAAAAAAAGTAACACTAGTGACATCGAATTAGAAAGATTCATAACTTATTTTTTTTAAAAACAGTGAATGTGTTTTCATACAAAAAAAATAATTAAACATGCACTTGAAGTAAGTATAACCAATTGTAAAAAATTTTACATTCTAAAAAAAAAAAGAGAGAAAATAAAGTTAGATATGAACACAGCAATAAATATAGAATGAGACTATCAACTACACTTGATAAATCACAGAAAGTAAATAACAAAAGTCGCAGGTAAATCTATACAAGCATGTTAGCAATGGACTCAAGCTATTGTGAAATTTACATTGCCATCACTAACCCACACTTGCCCCAAAAATTCAACTAAAATCTACGTCAAACATTTTTAAATTCAATATACAGATTCCTCAGAGAACTTTTGGAAACAAACTAATTAACTCTGAAAAATATTATAATCAAGAATGTAATTTAGGCTTATTACTAATAAAAGATACGACAAAAAAAAGATGAGTACTTATGTATACCATTCCTTTAACTGCTTGCTAATGATTTTTATCAGTTCAGAGAAGGAGTAAATACATGACTTTGATGTAATATACAAGTTATAATAAATATTTAGAAAAAAACAAAGTGCAGTAATATGTTTTATAATGTAATCTAGGCTATGTGGGACAATATTAGAGTAAATAAGAATGATGATTTTTGCATACTATTAAAAAATGTGTACTGGTTAGTTGTGAATTTGTAATAGGTTAGGCCTTATGAGAGGTGTCAACTCATCTTTAATTAATCTCTCTCAATTTTTTAAAATGCACATATTGATGAATTGACATTTTTAACTTTAAAAAACCCACTACACATGATAAGATAAAGTTCTTTTTAGGCACTGACAAGCTTACATTCAAAAATGTAAAAAAAAAAAATATCATTGGAATGCATTGCTAAAGTAGGATTTGTTTTAATTCAATTCATTTTGGCTTGGTTGTAAATCATTTTGTATTGTATTCACAACAGAAAAAATATTTTTGGTACTTTTAAAGGAATGAATTATCAATTGTAAAGTGACCAATCATACTATGTCTCTAATAAAAAAAACAACTAACGAATGTTTACAAAACAAAATACTCAAAATTACAATTTATGGCACAAAAGCGATCATTATTCTATTTGCAAATTCTGAAAAAATGAACAATATATTTATACATGTATAACTATTTTTTAACAGAATGCGTATATTTAGTCATAACATGTAATGACTTTTTGTAATCTAATTTTATATCATCAACAATTCCCCTAATGATTAAGTGATTAAAAAAAAAGAACAAGAAAGTTCAGTATGAGAGGATATTGAGGATATAACGAGTGTAGTTTACAGTGGATACACACAGTTGATCCCTGAATCTGCCTGGGTGCTGGAATGTCTATGATCCTAAGACAATATGTGCCAGAGAGATGAATGAATGCTGAATGATGTAAAATATTATAAAACAGGAATGTATGTAAACATTTTTAGTATGCTGCAAATTTTCTGCATCCCATTAACATGATTGTAAAGTTTACATTCATTTACTTTGAAGGCATAAGTTGCATAAAAATCTAGCTGAAACTTGAACAAAGGAATAACCTCAAAATACCTAAAATCAATTATGTTATACTGACTCAGAAAGTTTATTAACATAGAAAAATGACAAATGTGCATTTATTAATAAATAAATACCATTAGGTAAGTACTAAAGAACTTCATGAATTAAAACAAGTCATGTATATGTAAAAACACTCATACATTTACTTCATCTTTAATGTTTGCTAAATAACAAAGTTACTTACAAGTACTTTAGGATGTTTAGACGTTTGACAGTTATGGCAGAAAATGCCTGTCTGTCATAAGAATTATTATTAATGCATAACGAAAGTTATTTGAATAAGGTTTTACTGTAGCTAAACATTAAAAATAAAAACTACAGTTAACTATAGAAGGTTTAATTTTTACCACATTAAAAACAAAAATGAAATAGTTGAGATGATCTACAAACTTTTAGAGACCTGATTTATGATAGCAGTTATGAGAATAGAAATGAAAACTTCACTAACCAATACAAGAAAACGTTTGACCACACTGACATTAAAGTCAAGCTATAACATGGTTGCATATCTTTAAACCCCTGTATGTGCTAGCATGCAACCCTGTATCTACTACCTTACAATCACCCAGCACCAATGTGTTTGCCATTACCCTGTGTTTTCTAACCATGCACCACCTTTCAACGTTTTATAATTGAAAACACATTTTTAACAAACTTTCCCACCGCTGGTATTAATCAAGAATACAGTGATCAGTTTTAAAATGACTTCTGACCGGTTACAAAATAAAAAGAGAAGCTTCTATTAACAACACAGCTCCTGCGCACCCACCAGTGTAAAAAAAAAAAAATTATCAAACACAAACTTTGTTCATACAGAAAAATAATTTGTTCTTTAAAAGTGACAAGCCAGTCACAAGCTGTGTGCATCAGTTTCTTGGCCACTAAAAAATGTGCACACAGTGTGTCAACTAGTGTGAGTCACACAGTTTGTGAGTGTCACACAGGGCTGTTATATTACAACAATGAGAGCTGCCAGCAGCCTAACTGCGTACTTCATCAATACAACAACAATCATAATAGATCCATACAAGTACTATTTTAAACAACTTTAACAAAGAAAATTGTACAATAGATTTTTTTGTGAGAGTCAAAAAACATAAAATGTACAAATTGGTTCTTACAAAAATAGAATGTATCTTTTGTTAAAATTACTGTATACAAGTGAAAGATTTGGTCTGCTTAGCTTGTAGTAATAATAGTTTATTAAAAACATCACAGGCTATAATATGACTTAAATAGCCTCCTGTTGATAATCCAGAGTTAATATTAAACAGATTGATGTCATTAACGATTAGTCTAAACTATTAATTGGTCACATTATAATAAGTTTAATGAGAATAAAGTAAAACATACAGAAATCCTATTTCTTAACCTTGAGAAGCTTTTGAAAACAGTTTTAAGTAATCTTTAATTGGAATACATTAACACTATAAAACAGTCATAAAAGTTTGAAGTAATCGTTTAATGAAATTTTATGGAACAATCAGTGGTGTGAATATGGAGAGATCTTTTGAGTAAACCTTGCTAGCCATCCACCCCCATGGTAATTGCACCATACTATAAATAAAATAAAGTATTTTAAAAGAGACAATGTTATCACACTACCAAACAGATGAGAGACAACAGAGAAAATAAAAAAGCTATGTACACAAAAAAGTTGTGATCAGCAGTTGCCGTATTTCCAGATGGCGTGACTCTATCTGGTGTGACTGTATTCGTAATCCTGTCTGTTAAGGCAAGTTTTCAAATTTCCTCCCTTTTAATGCTGCTATATTGTTGACAACAGTTCTTACCGGTATTTTCAGTTGTACTATTTAACACACTGGGCTCCATATGTAGATGTACACACACTGAACATTATACACAAAGAAACAGCTGAAGCACACTGTTGTGGCCAGGTTTCTCCTGTTAAGTCGAAAGTTAGCCAACTTGAATTTCAATCTAGAGCTAATGAGAATAAATAATTGCGAGCACAAACTATGTGAAAACAGACCAAGTTACACCAATGTCTTGATGAGATGATCACGATAGCAGCTTTCTACAGACATTCTCAGTGGCTAAAGGTGGATAATTAACTCCTTGTATATGCCATGCTACCAAAAGTGATACCAGTAAATTGGTACAATAGCTTGGCCTGGTCAAGGAGGTGTCTGTACAGGTAGGTCAAGGAATTCGTGGTCTTCAACTAAAACAGTAGATCTGAGGAGCTGTTTGTTGACCATGTGTTGGTGTCGTCCTCTGCTGGACGAAGCATGAGAGAGTCAGGGTCTTCCACAACCTCCAGTGGCTTGATGATGGGCTCTGGATCTTTAATGGCTGCACCAAACTGATAGTCTTCCTGATACCGGCCTCTGTAGGACTGGAGATTGCCTGAAATAATACAAGGTGAGACATCTGTTAATTAGTTACACTAAAATACAGCAGTCTTCATATTGGTTATGGGAAATCAATCACAAAAATTGCCTCGTTAGCTATGCCCTACAACATGAAATAAAATTAGCTCTTTGGATTCTACTTTTATGCAAGCAATAATAATAAAATGTTAAGAAAAGTAATTTAAAGTTATATTTTGAGTTTAAATGTATTCAAAATATATTATAATAGTAATTAAAGTCAAGTGAAATGCTCTTTCAAGATTTGATGGTCCTAATATCAGATGAAGTAGAGTTTATCCATTAATGTGGTCAGTAGGCCCAAGTAGTACAATACCCAACAACTTAAAGTTTCCATCACACCTGTTAAGGTCCAGGGGCATCATAGGAACAGAACTTAGTATGTTCAGGCTGAGTACTCAACCACTGACATTATGTCTATGCCAGACAAATAACGTATGTCTACAACTTTCTACATTACCTGTATGTGAGAGGGCAGTGTTGGACCTCAGCACCTCGTCCTCCCCAGTCCTTGGTGTCTGAACCATGTCATCACCCACATCATCACTAGATTCCCCATTGTCCCCTGAGTAATCAACCACTGACATTATGCCAGACAATAATGTACGTCTACAAGTATCTACATTACCTGTATGTGAGAGGGCAGTGTTGGACCTCAGCACCTCGTCCTCACCAGTCCTTGGTGTCTGCATTATGTCATCACCCACATCATCGCTAGACTCCCCATTGTCCCCTGAGCCCGTGTCAAAGATGAGGATTTCTGCTGTCTCATTCGGGTGTTCCTCTAAATATTTTTCTAATGCATATTCCTCTGATGGATATTCAAATGTTTCAGTTTTGGAATCATTGAAGTGAATGCTGACCTGTAATGTAAATAATGAGCTTTAGGACATGAAATATAGAAAGGTTAATATATCAAAATGTTTTTTTTACACAAGTCTAAACTAAAAGACCTACAATGGCAGTATTATACATTAGTATCAAATGCTAGAAAGGCAATATTTTTAGCAGTGACATGTGAGGGAAAGGGGTGGGGTGTGTGACAAAGCCTAGCCAGATGCTCCAGAATGCAGGCTACCTCCATATACTGTTTTATTCTGCAACAAGATATACATTGAATTGTCAGTGACCCCCAGATAAGTCAAGTGTCAGATAAAGCTTAATCTGGCAATGCAGCATTGTATCCTTCCCAGTAACACCATTAGGGTCAAGGTTAAGAAGTACTCGATCTAGCTAACACAACATAGCTTTGATGTAACCCTACACTATTTTTATAAGTAGTGAGTTAGTGTCCTATTCATAACGATTAACAAAATTTTGCATTGCAAAATGTCAAGAATATGGATGATAATTGACACCAATTAAAGAAAGATTCAATTCTCTTAAGACCAGAGCCTCTGTGAAAATTTAAAAGTTTTTTTAAAAGTAACTGGTAACCTTTCCTGCATCAGCATCACAATTTAACAATCTTTTAATCCATACACACCTGTATATCTCTCACAGTGTCCATAACATTCAACAGAAGAAAAAAAAAGCACACAACAGAAGCAAGTATAGAACTAGTCTGTAAAAAGTGAGTGAATCAAGGTAGCCCTACACAAGTGGACAATAGCCAAACCCTTTTGCTGAGACTGACGGGTTTTTCAAGGAGAAAAATCAAGGAAGGGACCAGGTGAAACATCTGATCAAACAGAAAATTAATGTCAACAAATCCCCTCAAACATGGCCATCTATTATTGTCTCAAAAAATATGACAATTTTTCCTAAAATATCATAATTTTTTTTTTCCACAAATAAGAACATTGAGTGCATGGACACTGAAATAATACTTTACAGAATACAATATTTACTAAACATCTATTATTGCTTCTATTAGATCTAAATAGTGGAGATAATATTTATCCTAATTACTGGTAGAATTAGCTGAACTATGGCTGGTATTTAGCTCCTTTGTTCTGTGCGGATGTTTAGAAAGCCAAGTTAAAATACTGTGTGTGTGTTGATGGTAGGGCCCGTGTGTGCGTGTGTGTGTGCCTACATTTATGAAGTGAAAACGTTCAAACGTTACAGTTTGTCGAGGGCTGGTCGGGAGGGACGTGTATGTGTTGATGGTAGGGCCCGTGTGTGTGCCTACATTTATGAAGTGAAAACGTTCAAACGTTACAGTTTGTCGAGGGCTGGTCGGGAGGGACGAGCGGGGCATCAGGCAGTGTCACATCACAGCTTTACGGCTTTACGGAATACCAAGCTAATCTCCCTTTGTTATGCCGACAGGAGACAATGTTTTTCTACAGCCAGCAGACACAGTCCGTCTTCGTCTATTGCAGTGTACTGACAGTGTTGTACATGGGGGAGGGGGGGGGGCGACTAGAAGTGTAGTGAGGGTGGTGATTTCGTTGTTGGGGGATGGACAAGCCGACAAGCTTGAAAGGAAGTAATCAACTAGAGCTATCATTTATTAGTTTATCTTTAAATTACTTCACATATCGAGTGTAAGACTAAGTTAAAGGATTTGTGGAATGCATAAAATGTTATTGCTGGAATACTGAATCAATTGAATGAGCTTATCCTAACACAAAAAACAAAACAAAAAATAGCGTCGCTTGCTATACATTAATAACAACAGTCAATAGAATACGGCTTACAAGAAAACAGCGGGGTAGAGAAAAAAAAACTATGTTTAGCTTTTTTTTTCGACTTCGGTTTAAAAAGGCGTTTTAAAATGGTTAACACAATGGCACAAAACACAGGGGCGATAACCGGATGAAAGAATAATTCTCATCCACACACGAACAGTGGGACCGGATATTTAGCCGCCACAAAGCCGATGCACAATAAAGAAAGACAACAACCGGAAACTGAGAGCTGTGCTCATCTGACGATACATCTATCTTCTGTAAAGATCTGTTTCAACGGGCACGCCCGTATAGAAACACATCATCGAGTGATAGACGATTACCCCATGTATAGCCGACAGTGTATCGCCTTAACTTATAAACATTTTACCCGGAAACTATGGAGTTGATGCATTTATAGCTTAAAGTTTACTTTCTAGTCCTGCTAAGTATTGCGAATATTTCTAAATGTACTAGAGTCTAGTACTAGTAAAACACCTGAATAACTAGATTATTACGCCGTATAAAGCAGAATGGAGAAAAAAAAAAGAAAAAAAAAACAACAAAGCAAAGCAAATACAAAGGATGACAGCAATCCGACGAAAACACTTATACAAGTGACGGTTTGAATCACTCAATAAAGAAAACACTTCAAGTGAGGATCGCAAACAAAGGGCTAAATGCAAAAAGTTGTAACTACATGGGCAGAATGCTAAAGACAAAACTAAATGGGCAGAATGTTTAAGACAAAACTACATGGGCAGAATGTTAAAGACAAAATTACATGGGCAGAATGCAACAAATCTACATGGGCAGAATGCTAAAGCCAAAACTACATGGGCAGAATGTAAAAGACAAAACTACATGGGCAGAATACTAAAGCCAAAACTACATGGGCAGAATGTTAAAGACAAAATTACATGGGCAGAATGCAACAAATCTACATGGGCAGAATGCTAAAGCCAAAACTACATGGGCAGAATGTAAAAGACAAAACTACATGGGCAGAATACTAAAGCCAAAACTACATGGGCAGAATGCTGAAGCCAAAACTTCATGGGCAGAATGCTAAAGACAAAACTACATGGGCAGAATGAAACAAGGTGAGAGTGCTTTAATGAAAAAAGTATTTTCTCCTGATGAATGAGTGTAAGGGAAATGTTGACACGATGATTGTGATCAATGTGTGCCACCTGCTCGGCGAGTCAGCCGCAAATCAATCACACTGCCATTTATTAGCAGGATCGATTTCCATTCGACGCTCACTTTGAATAGGTAATTCAGCAAGAACATTCTACCAATATCGTCAACACGGGATTATACAGCCCCACCCCTCCAACTCACCAATTTATTCTTGGTGTTTTCAACTAAGCTTGGTTATCGTTTATGTTTTTAAAAAAATAAATAAAAAATAAAGTTATAATAAAAACAAGCAATCAACACAAAATCAGAGCAACAAAAACAAAACAAAAAATCTTGGTAAAATTAAATCATTTGTCGACAGAGCAGCGTAGATAACCAGATGATGTAGTATGACAAATTCACACCTGTATTGTGTATAGTAGCTTTCGTACAGTGTGACAGCAAAGTATGCATAACTAAACAGGTCGTGCCTGGTACCGCTGGAGTTTGAGTAGAATTTAATTAGCACTTTAGTAAAGCTGTTAAACATTATCATCTACGTTCAACGGTAGAACCTAAACATTCCCAGTTTTATGAGTTAAAAATATTCAGTATTGACAATATTAGTTTATCACAGACATATGGGGTATTAATAGAGCTCAATTAAATATAAAGGTATTTACATGTGTTTGTAGTATAGAAACTACAGTGTGTTTGTAGTATAGCAACTACGATATGAACTTCCGAAACACATACGTGTGTAGAGGAGACAAATGACAACACAGCTATGTTATGTCATGACCTTTGTCGTCGGGTGCAAGGAGTACTTCACAGCGGGGACTTTTGTCATAGTGGCTTAATGGCTATTGTCATCGCATCAACGGGGTGATTCGGGCTGTCATCACACCAGTGGTTCAGTGTATTACTGCCACATTCCCGGTCAGAAGTGGTTCAGTGTATATCGGTGGTTAAATGTGTCACCACTACACCAGTGGTTAAATGTGTCACTACTACACCAGTGGTTAAATGTGTCACCATTATACCAGTGGTTAAACGTGTCACCATTATACCAGTGGTTAAACGTGTCACAACTTTACCAGTGGCTAAATGTGTCCTCCCTATATATAAGTGGTTAAACGTGTCACCACTACACCAGTTGTTAAATGTTTCACCACTACACCAGTGCTTAAATGTGTCACCAGCACACCAGTGGTTACACGTGTCACCAGTATACCAGTGTTTAAATGTGTCACCAGCACACCAGCTAAGTGTACCACCACTCTCCCACTAGTTGATTGTCTGCCTACAGTAAACCAGTACGACCGCCACTATCTATAGCCACGCTAAGAAGGTAGAACACACGCCCTTAAGCCATTGCCGTCTAGCGGGATACAGGAGCTGGGGAGAGCGATCAGACTATCCTATTGGGTAGGCAAATAAACATTCCCATTGTCGTACTCGCGTTACAAGCGTCTAGTCGCAGCACGTGGCCTTACAAATAGACAAAAACCCTACCCCATAATGGTAGGAGGCTCCAACCGGTTCAACTACCTGAAAACAAGGCAGCACTCAAATATTTGAAAACTAGACGGCGTTTTGTTATGTAACGTCTGGGTGGGATAAACCAGTAGGAAGACGAACACACCAGATAGACAGGAGGGATTTAGACAGACTGCTGCTCCAGTAGGAAGACGAACACACCAGATAGACAGGAGGGATTTAGACAGACTGCTGCTCCAGTAGGAAGACGAACACACTAGACAGGAGGGATTTAGACAGACTGCTGCTCCAGTAAGAAGACGAACACACCAGACAGGAGGGATTTAGACAGACTGCTGCTCCAGTAGGAAGAAGAACACACCAGACAGGAGGGATTTAGACAGACTGATGCTCCAGTAGGAAGACGAACACACCAGACAGGAGGGATTTAGACAGACTGATGCTCAAACACACGGCTCACTCATGTTCGTGCTCTGACTACCATTACACATAGCAGATCGATTATGTCTGTCGGTATGCTCGCTTTTACAGTGTCATAGCAACGAGCTGAATATCAGAGTACAATATACACCGGGCTGATTAAATGTATTGATGTTTATAATATAGATACCACTGTATGGCCGACG